CTAGTAATGCCAGGAGCCCCTAGTAGCGTCCTTGCTCCTACTAGTAAGGCACTTGTTACTAGAAGCGATGCACTTGTTCCTAGTAGCTTCTTGTTACTACTAGTAATGCCAGGAGCCCCTATCCTTGCCCCGTTCGTAGCGATGCCTTTTGCTCCTGGTTCCGGGTAATTCCGGCTGCGTCGGCACCGACACTCCAGCGTTCGCCTGAACCCGACAGCGCTGCACCGAGCAGCCGCAGGGGTGGAAGGTCTGGGCTCGGTCCTCGTAGAGGTTCTGAGCGTCGACGTAGTTGAAATGCCCCGGGCGCATCCAGGGTGTCACCGTGGGGGAGCCAAAGAAGGCACGGTCCAGCCACCAGGAAGCTGTGGTGTAGTAGGCTTGACGATCCAAGGCATAGCTTCCTGGAAGAGAAACATAACCACGTGAATGCAAATAGAAGAGATGCACCAGTCGATTGAACGTTCGAGTATCAGTACGAAGATATCAAACAAGAAACTGATGTACACCTCCAGTGATGACAGTATCCCTCCAGTTGCCCACAAAAACATTTTGACCACCACACCATCAAAGCTCTCGTCAAGACATACAGTCTAACAATTTCCCACGAACCTGAATGAGGCTACTAGGAACAAGAAGCTACTAGGGGCTCCTGGCATCGCTACCGCTACTAGGAGCAAGGACGCTACTAGGGGCTCCTGGCATCGCTACTAGGAGCAAGGACGCTACTTGGGGCTCCTGGCCTTTCTGCTAGGAACAAGAAGCTACTGGGGGCTCTTGGCATCGCTACTAGGAACAAGGACGCTACTAGGGCTCCTGGCCGTACTACTAGGAGCAAGTAGCTACTAGTAACAAGCAGCTGAATGTCCAAACATGGCCAAACTCACTTCCTCAATGCCGTGGCCATGCTCGTCCTGGGAATCCGTTGTTCTTGGAGTGTGGAATCGTCAGCATGGCATGCCCCAGTGCGCGTGCCAGGAAACTGCAGCTGAGCAGGGTCAACATCGTCATGATCGCCAACGTTCGGAAGTCAGAGCACTCAAACTGCGGGACCATGAATTGCGATTGTGTGACCGGTGGACAATGCCAACTGCAGGTCGCTGGAGGCTATCACTACTGGGTTGGTGGCCATCGCTCTTGTATAAGTTGGATGCCGTTGCTACTAGGTTGGAGGCCATTGCTAGTAGGTTCATTGAAGTTTGTATCGAGTTGTGTCTAGTTGTTCAATCTTACAAGATCTTAGAGGCTTGGATGAGATTGTTGGTGAGCCAGGCAGCCATACCCAACTGTGTTTTTGGGGAAGAATGCGACGTTTCTTCTCTCAGCTACCCATTAATTACCATGGCATCACGGGCTACCCGACTCCGCCATGCATTTGGAAATAGCTGCAAAAACTGCAACAATGTTTTCGGAACAGGTAGTGCTTTGGTTGATTTCATCTGTCCTAGTATTAATTAGTGATTTGCTGTATTTTCCTCTAGACCGTGCATCCCAAGACACTCGATCTCAGTGGTCACTTGGTTGAATGGTACTCCGGCACTCAGCACGCACGACACCTTCTTACTTGGTTTCCCCCAGCCAGCAATCAGCCACACACCAAAGCCAGCGTCACGATTTACCTCGTGCAATGGATAATCAATAGAATCGTTTTCCATGCACGAAGGGTGACTATTGTCTTGACTGGAGCATGGAAGGAATTGCCTTTGGATGGTTTCCATCAATCGTGACCTTCTTGTTCCATGAATAGTGACTTCACATCAGATTTCGGGCTGCCATAGAACAGCTGCCTTTGCAGGGTGTCTTTGGGAGAAAGACTTGAAAGCATCAAAGACCAAAGACGTGGAACACATTGGTGACGTTGGGGTGGATCACTGGTGATTCAAGTCCTATTCAATTTTCTGTTTTCACATGTAGCCGACTCACCCCAATCCGATGTTGTCCAGATTAAGATTGTGCAATCGGTAAGCTTTCCAAACAAACGCATTGCAGCATCTCTTTGCAACCTTTCCTCTAGGCTGTTTTTAAGAAGCTACTAGTAACAAGTGCATCGCTAGTAGTAACAAGTGCCTTAATTTCGTCTAATTTTAGCTTAATTATAATAGCTTTTTGTTGCTACTAGTAAGGCACCTGTTACTACTAGCGATGCACTTGTTACTAGTAGCTTCTTGTTTCCAAATCAATTCTTCTTCTTAGTCTCTCGCAACTTCTCAATTTCACCTCTTGTGGGTATGAAGTTTGCCGGAGTAACACCGTCAGGATGATCTGAAGATCCAGCCGCACGGTGGAGTCTTCGCATTCTAGGCACATTTAAACATGACCGGACACTACTAGTAGTAACAAGAAGCTACTAGGAACAAGTGCATCGCTAGTAGTAACAAGTGCCTTACTAGTAGTAACAAGAAGCTACTAGGAGCTCCTGGCCATACTGGGAACAAGAAGCACATTCCAGACCGGAGCAGTGCACCGAGCTGTCATAGCTCGGAATTTGAGATAGCTGGACCTTAGTGACCACTCCCGACGTCCACAACCCACACCAAGCGGAGAATTACTTGGCTGAAGAACAACGGTGAAAATGGACAGGCTGAGAACACTCTGCACTACCCCCTCTTTGACCAAATATGTGGTCAAGTCCCTAGAAGCAAAGGCTTCCAAAAGCTGCAAACTACTCCAAACACTGTTCTTTTTTCCTGCTCCCCCCTAGTAGCTTCTTGCTACTAGTAGCGATGCACCTTGTTACTAGTAGCTTCAACAAACACTTCTTGGGACATTTTGGACCTCTCTTCGCACCCAGTCGCGAGTAATATTCTTCGTACTCTGGATGAACGACAGTGAGTCCTGCCCCAGTGAACGCTTTCGCAGCCTCCGCACGGAGACTTGCCGTGCAACAGTCACCGCAGACTTGCCGCCGCCACAGAAGCAGCACGCGGTGGCAATGACCTCGTGGGCACCTGATCGTGACCGGTCGTGGCCTGCCTCCAAGGCGCTGCACTCGTCGAACAAAGGAAGTCGGTCACAGTCAGTCATGCATCGAGAATCTCACTTCGCAGTTTCAGCAGTGTTGCTGATATTGGTTTGTTGGACAACAACATAAACAAATGGATACACATGGAGTGAAACAATGGGCGTACTTTCGTGGTGGTCCAAGGCACAATAGGCATCAGGCTGGCTGTAGGCAGCCCCTCTCTCTTCGAAATAAGTACAGTCGAACCGTCCTTTACAGCGGGCTTTGAGCGTATAAAAGCCCTATGATCATGCGATATGGACACATACATACTGTGCAGTGCTCTTTCCACGGCAAAATAACTGGCTCTGGTCGTGATGTAAAAGAGGCCAGCGCTGTGAGCGTGTGTTTTTGGTATTCTCGCTTTTTTGTTTGATATTTGTGATCTCTTTGATAGGTCCTCTGAACCCAAAACATTTCCCCTATATGGAGCCTTGCTGTTCTGGTAGAAGATGAAAAAAAACACATGCGGCATGCGTGATAAAATACATTGACATGACAGGAGAAAAAAGAAACACGTATGCTAGAAACACTGTACACTGCACATGCTCACAGCGCTGTTTTCTGTATGCAAAGTGTGAGTGATACATGGCAAGCCAAACTCTCCAGATCCAAGCCCTTTCATAGCTTCGACCTCTGACATTCTCCAACCTCTTCCCGTTCCAAGTCCTTGTTGGCTCTACTGGGCGGGCAGCGGCTCATCGACACATCCAGTTCCGCTCGTTGTTGTGGTGCTCGTGGTTGTGGTGGTGGGGACATTAGGGTCTACGATCTCCACGTCTGCGCAGTTGGACCAGATCTGATCTGCCATGTAACAATCCTGACTTGGCCGAATGGATCAGGGGGCTAAACGCCAATGCTGTTGATACAATCCTTTTCTTTGGAGTTCAACATTTGACCAAAAAGGTAAGCGCCGCGCTCCGACCACAGTCACCCTCCGTGTCGCACATTAGAAAAGGTGCCAAGGTTCCCAACGCCAACTGAGGAGATACTCACCTCACAGCTGAACAGTTACCGCGTGAATGGGAAGTCCAACTTCTTCCTTTTTTTTGCTTTATTTGTGATCTTCAGAGCTTTCTTTTGGTTTCTTGTTTTGTTGGAGGCAAGGAAACATCCACATGTTTTGTTCTTATTGTATGTCGTAGGTTGTGACTGCTGCTAAGAATCCACTATTCTCTTTGCGGTCAAATGTGAAATGCAGTTACTTTACATGCAGTACCTGCGTGCAACTGCTCTATCTCAATTTATCCAGATGCAAAAAACCGGACAGTGTTTCTGTCGAGGCCCCCTGCCTGGGGGAAGGTTGTTGGGCACCCGTACCTTGTCATGGACCTGAACATGCGGGCTACAGGGCAAGAAACGCTGAAAAACAAGGTCAGTGTGGATTGGACTCTATGTGTGGCAATTGGCATGACGCAAGGTCATCCCACTTGTGACTCATCGCAAGAATGTAGCCGATTGGAGGAAAACTCGGTCTGACTTAGAGCTGACTTGTGACTATATCAGCTATAAGAGTTATAGTTCACTTTGAGTCAACACCCCAACTCCCCAGAGTTCCACACCACGCCTCCCAGTTGTTGGGGTTGTGGTTCTTGGGCCCGGCGTCACAGACGGACTTTGGACCGAAGTCCTCCGCAAAGAGCTGCTCCACCTGAGCGTCGCTGAAGGCCTCAACGGCGTCCCAGGAGCACAAGCCTTCGCCACCTGGCGAAGAATGTGTCAACGTGGACTCAGCGCAAAACATGGAAATGTGGAGCCCACTACACCAGCAAGAAAACGACGGTATTGGGCATTTGTACAGCTGTAGCCGCAAGTACTTCGAGTGATCCCCACCCCGAGAGGCGGACTGGAAGAAGGCAGGGCACTTGTATTGACAGACTATCCAAACGTTGCCTGACATGTGCATCGACACTATGTTCTGGCATCAAGTCTGGTACGTGTTCTGACACATCATCTATCGAAAAAAGACTGGACATGTTCTGGTATGTGTCCTGACGTCCTCATTGGCATGTGTTTCCTTTGTCCTGCCGTGAAGTATCATTTTTCGTCTCCGCATCCTCTAGCGAATTACTTCTGGCATGTGCTGTCGCACCAAGCTGGCATGTGCGACAGCTGTGTTGTGACACATGGTCAGGAGCCCCTAGTAGCTAGCGTCCGATCGCTCCGTTCGTAGCGATGCCCTTTGCTCCTAATAGCGTCCTTGGTCCTAGTAGTACGGCCAGGAGCCCCTAGTAGCGTCTTTGCTCCTAGTAGCGATGCCAGGAGCCCCGAACGTAGCTTCTTGTTCCTAATGGTCATACTTCAGTTCTGATATGTCTGACATGAGTCCGGCCATGTATTCCGACATGTGTTCTGCCATCAAACCTGCCACTTGTTCCAGCACTCTATCTGGTATCTTTTGGCATTCTACCTGGAATATATTCTGACTGACATTCTATCTGGCATTCTACCTTGCATATATTCTGACAACCTTTCCAGCATTCTAACTGTCTTCCGGCATTCTTTCTGGCATATATTCTTGCATTGTATCTGGCATAGCTTCTGACATCCTAGCTGCCATACCTTCTGACATCCTTTCTGGCATATCTTATGGCACGCTACCTGGCGTGTATATACTGACATCCTTTCCGGGCATATCTTCTGGCATACCTTTTGGCATTCTATCATGGCATACCTTCTGACATTCAAACAGGTGTGTCTTCTGGCTTTTTAACCGACATATATCTTCGGAACTTCTAACTGGCACATCTCCTGATTTCCGGCATTCTATGTGGCATGGTTTCCGACATTCCATCTGGAACGGCATGTGGTGACTCCCAACATAAAAGTGTTCAGGTATCTTCAGGTGAGAGGCAAAGGAGTGGCACCTTTAAAATCTAAAAACCCTCACCTGGGAGACTAGCAAGAAGCTACTAGTAGCAAGGAAAACCTATGCTGACGCAAAAGGACGGCATCATCGCACGTAGGGTGCTCTCACCTAACCCACTGCCTCACTGCTATTATCAAGGAAGACAGGCTAGCTTAGATCGACACTTGCGTTTCTTTGTGCCTCATTCCCACAAGGGATGTAAGAGTTTGGTACTCACCGAAAGACTGCTAGTAGGTTGGAGGCCATTGCTTCTACTAGCCTCGGTCCCCGGCACTTGACCGGCACCTCCAGAGATCTGCGTGGTGTCAGGGATGGGGATCCACCGCCAGGTAGTGCCTTCCGGCTCTGTGTCTGAGCCACTCTTGCTGGTGATCTTCATCGTCACCTGGGATTACTTCTGGAGACACCCCTTCTAACTTTCATGCAGTTGTTTGTGGATGTTTTAAGGATGTGCTATAGGTTTCAGCCTATGTTTGGGTAGCTTTTGCATGCTTTTGCATTACAGTATTTCTTCTTGTTTGGTACTTTGACTGGTGCATGATCTGCTTGGCACCAGCGAGCTGCGTTGAGGTCCCTCTGCGCTTGATAGTCCATCCACTGAGTGTCTGCAAATTCCAGAACGTTGGCTTCGAAGCAGTCCCAAATGCATTTCCTGACGACGAAAAGCGGAGAAATGGAAGACGGAGCGCGAATAGGATTTTTGTCACAAAGAAACTGTATTATATGCAGGGTCGATGACAAGGAAACGTGCCACAACGGAATCCACGAGCAGCTGGCACATTTGGCCAACCATCCGCACATCAAGATTTCACCAAAAGTGATGTTGCAGGTGAGCTTCAGATAGGCATCAACCTGCTCCTGGCTCGAGCCTCGGATAGGATCTGCCAAATGATCCTGGCGACATTGAAGGAAGGTGTCACGCTTGCACAGCATGTAGATATAGCCTCCGCCATGGTTGGCATACCTCACAAACGACATTTCCCATCCACACAACGGACAGCTACATGTCACAAAAACTACCGGCCAAAAGCCAAGCTCTTCTGGTATCTCCTAGGGTCCTTCGGTGGCACACTGAAGCTTCGCTATCATAAAGGCAGGACTTTGTCTTCTTCCTCTATATAATCAAACAACATCATCTGAGATCTTGTGTAGTGGCACAGCAGGTGAATGAACTTGAACAATTGAAGGGAGCAAGGACGCTACTAGGGCTCCTGGCCTTACTACTAGGAGCAACAAGCTACTAGGAACAAAGGGCATCGCTACTAGGAGCAAGGACGCTACTAGGGGCAGGAGTATAAAGTATAAAATGATGGAAATCGTTTCTGTCTGTTTGGAGGCACAGCCCGGCCAACCAACCAACCCCGAAAATGGGGACATGTCATTCTGAGCAAATCCTTTTCTGTACGGTCGCATAATGCACGTCCTGCCTTTCCTTCTTACCAGGAATCACATCTAAGTCTATGTCTATGTGGATCTGCCGCTGTTGAATTAGCAATTGCATTTCGCGTGGCAGGTGTTTGATGGTTGGTTCTCATTCTCTTTTGGATCAGCATTCAAACAGCTTTGGAGGGAGGACATGTGACCGTGGGGGGTGGCATAAGTCTCTTGCAGTATTCTCAGGGGACAGGGACAGGGTTTGCACTCTGGAACTCTGGAACCTTCCCTAAGAACAAAAAGGTGTCATGATCCTGGTGCTGTATTACATACAAGAACCGCCTCAAACGGACACAAGTGTCTCCACCTTTCGACACACACTCCCAACCCTCCTATGAATGATCGCTATGTCGGGCAGTACAAGTCACCATGGTACCAACTATGTAGAGCACTTTTGATCTTCGTCACCCATCCGCCATCAACACGTCCCCAGTTGATTGGTCCAGCTGCAGATTGAAGGCAGTCTCCTGTTCCGTACCCAGGAACCACTTTGGTGGCTTGATCGTTGGCCCCGTGGGCTCTGCACCGCCCATGGTGGTTTCCCCAAAGCCCTCGGCCAGCTGGACACCTCCAAGTCTTGTGATTCGTGGTTCGGTGGACCAGTGAGGGCGCAAAGAGCAGCATCGGGGATGGGCTCTACATCCGTGGGATGGTTCCAGTTTCAGTCTGTTTTGGAAAACACTTGAAATGGAAATATTATATTGTGATATATTGTGTCTCTTTTGTTCACTCTCCCTTTTTGAGTCAGGCGGGCTATGTTTGTATTTATTCACACCAGTTTGCTTGTAATTTTCCGAGAACGGCTGGCTCAATTCTGGTTGGGATCAGGAAATGCTTTCAGTGTCCAACTGAAGCAGTTCACCAACCTCGCGCTTCTGATTGATTAAAACCATTAAACACCTCGGCAATTGAATATGTCAGTTTTATTTACGGCCGCACGGCTTGGTATTTCTCTATGATCTTCGTTGTCTTTCCTCAGCAATGCGCCTGCACAGAACTCGGCACCATGTGGGTTATAACAGCCTCAGCAGGTGGACCGGCAAAATGTTTGATGTCCACAAAACACTGGGGTTCTAGTAGCGTAGCTTCTTGTTATTAGTAGCTACTTGCTCCTAGTAGTGCGGCCAGGAGCCCCTAGTAGCGTCCTTGCTCCTAGTAGCGATGCCAGGAGCCCCTAGTAGCGAACAGGGCTCTAGCTGATAGCTAGCCTTCCTTTCGTCTGAAAGGGCATACTCACTTTTCCCCAAAGGATCCCAACAAAATCCACAGTGCACAAGGCTCCCAAGCAGTGCGAAGTCCCATCTCAGGAACATTCAGGAACTACGGCCATCTTTAGCAATCTTGTCCGTCCATATCCGGTCCAAGGGATATTTCTGGATGGTGAACTGGTATAAAGACTCCTCCCCCCAATTTCCCCTGCGAATTGAACGGAAAAGGCCCTGGAGTCTGCCACCTTCCTTAGGCCGATCGGATCGTTTCCACTCTTCCTTAGGTGAACAGGCAGGTCCCATGGAATCCATGGCAAGCGGCCGCAGGGGTGGAACGTCTGGGGAAAGTCTTTGTAGAGGTTCTGAGCGTCCACATAGTTGAAATGCCCCGGGCGCATCCAGGGTGTCACCGTGGGCAAGACAAAGAAGGCACGGTCCAACCACCAGGAAGCTGTGGTGTAGTAGGATTGACGGTCCAAGGCAAAGCTTCCTGGAAGAGAAACATAACCACGTGAATCCACAAAACAAACTGAACATTTGTTATTTTGACTGATCGAATACCATGAATTCCGAAGGTAAATTGTGGTTCAATAAATTGATGAACGCCTGCAGTGATGAACAAAAACAGCCCAAACATCGGTCAGTAGAAGAAGACAAGGATGAAGATAAATTTGGCACTCTGGAGCACACACATGAGAACACACGTAGGTGAGCCGTGACAGCACACATATAAAAGCACAGATATGAGAGAGCACACATATGAAGGCAACATAAGGCAACTACATATGAGAGCACACACCTGCGCAAAAGAGAGCACAAGGAGAACACACATATGTGACACATGAGAGCACGCAATGAGAGCACACGCGTGTGAGCAAGCACACGAGACCACACAATGAGGGCACGGGTAATTGAATCTGCACTTCTGGGTTCACAAACCACCATGAAGCCTCATGAAAACGCGGCACATGTCCAAGCTTCCCAATTCACCAGACACGACCAGCCAAGTCCGGTGCCGACATGTGCCGAAGTAAAATGGCTCCAGTCCCCACGTGCCACGAAAAGTCGACTTCGCCATAAAGACACGAGGGTTCCTTTACGCCTGACGAAGATCTCGAGAGGTATGACTGTCCATAAATAGCATCGAAATGGCCGCACATGCCGGTGAACACCCTTCATCAACCCCAGCCTTGCGAACAACAGTGTAAGAACCCCTAGTGTGACTCTTTGGGGAACAACACCAGTAGGTAGTCTTCTGTGTCTAGTAGCTAGAAGCTACTAGGTTGGAGGCCATCGCTATGTGGTTGGAGGCCATCGGTATTATAGTATTATATAGGTTGGAGGCCATTACTACTAGTAGCTAGAAGCTAGTAGTAACAAGTGCATCGCTACTGGTAACAAGGGAGTCCTAACCGCTGCCAAACATCTCCTGAACTACACATTGTGGTAACAGGTATCATTGACTCTAGACACCTCGTTGACCCCAGAGCACAAAGCGAGAGGCCTTGGCTGGGTGGTCTTGTGGACGGTCTTTCAATTCAATCTGTTTGTTTCAATGGGTTTCATTCCAGTGCTGCAGCCATGCTGTCTACCTGGCAAACCCAGAATCCACATCAACCACTTCAGCTTTTTGGGTTTTTTTGAGGCGTCTCTCTTTCGTGAACAGGCGTACCATGGTGACGACAATGGTGACGTCAATGGTGCTGGACTATCACTGACATGAAATCAGATACGAGAACCGTGTTTGCCGAAGTTTCGATGTTCTTGAGAGTACCTGGGTGCGTTGAAACTCCATAGTTAGCTGACAAAAAGTTCTCCCAAAGCTTTAAGACCACCAAACCATCAAAACTGTTTCCACAACACAAGACCAAATGATTCCCCCGAACCTGAATGAGGCCCAAACATAACCTGCAATGCCCGTCCTGGGAATCCGTTGTTCTTGGAGTGTGGAATCGTCAGCAGGCCGTGCCCCAGTGCGCGTGCCAGGAAACCGCAGCTAAGCAGGGTCAACATCGCCATGATCGCCAACGTTCGGAAGTCAGAGCACTCAAACTGCAGGACCATGAATTGCGATTGGCCGACTGGTGGATGCCAACTGCAGGTCGCTGGAGTGGCCCACAGTCAACCCCACGACTGTTTGCAGGTTTCAATGGTGTCTGTCAACCCCTCTGACGGATCCATAGAGCCTACATCCATGCCCAGTCACCCGACGGATGCGATGTCCATGGGCCATCCCATTGGGCTTCTGGACTCCACCACGACATGTCCGTTGAGATCAATGCCGAACAGCCTCTCTATGCGTTTCTGAAGAAGTAACATTGAACCTTTGAACATCAACATACTGCTTGTTGGATCCAATCAGCTTCCCGTTTTTTCTTTTTAAGAGTCGAATTCAATGGAATCCTCGGCACAAACATGGGCCTTCAAAGTTGCGACTTGTTCAATCCACCAGCCACATGGGCCATCGCTATTAGGTTGGAGGCCATCACTCCAAGGTTGGAGGCCATCGCTCTTAGGTTGGAGGCCATCGCTAGTAGGTTGGAATCCATTACAATTAGGTTGTTGGCCATGGCTAGTAGGCTGGAGGTGATTGCTCTCAGGTTGGAGGCCATCATAAGTAGGTTGGAGGCCACACTTGGGTTCGGTTTGTATCGAGTTGTGTATTGCTTCAGTACCCTCGTCTTTCAGCACCTTCTAGCTCTTGTAGAAGCCGCAGCACCTCCTTCGAGTTCGCTCGATCGGCCACCTCAACGAAGGGCGATGCAAACGAGCCGATGCCAAGACGGGGCAGTTGCACGTTCGGCCCTACTGGACAATGTCTCACATGGCCTCATCGCTGTGGAACCAACAAACAGGGAGACATCTGACCACGCTTTGCACACAAAGTAGGATTGGACGATGCACATACACCCGCAGTCTTTTTCACCATCGCCCATCTCCCCCTTTGGGGGACCGGCGCATCAAAGTGCGCACATGAGGTGCGCACCAGAGCGCGCAGCTTCTGGTTATCCTCAGTGTTTTTCTGCCACAATTTTCTTGGGTCATCCTCATGCGCACGTGAGCTCGTTGTGTCTCACCCGCCCATGGCTGACAGCTCTGTCGAACTCGGCTCAGGAGATGATCTGGGAGACTCCTCGAAAGGTGCTCTGGAACTAGTTGTCAATTGAATCTGCTGGAACATTGGCAAAGTAGACCGCATATAGGATTGCTAGTCAGTGCTAGTCAAGATGATTTTCAGGGAGCTGGTTCAGGCTGGGACAGGAAAATCAGCAACTTTGCTGGATCAAATTTCGGTAGAAAACACTCACAACTGGCTTTGGCAAGGTGTAACCGATGATCTTAGGGTTATGTATAGACTTCTCTTAAACCTCGTCACTCGCCTACTGATTGCAGCTAGAAGTCCATCTAGAAATCTTTCCCAGGCTGAGCAAAGGGATGGGATGAAGCAACCGTATCAAGTTTCTTGCGTGCATCCCCATGCCAAAAGCACGCCTGTGCGGGGCGGTTCGAAGCCCTCAAGGGACCATCGAAGCTCCTGAACAGAATGGTGAATGTCCGTCCAAGTGGTTCTGGGCGCGAAATTCCAGTCGACAGGGACTTGCCATCTTGGTTAAAATGAAAGAGCTAGAAACACCACGAGGTCTGTCAATTGTTTGGCATCCAGGGGAGCAAGATGGAGCAAGACATGAGCTGCTAATATGGGCAGGTGATGACAGGTGCCTAGCCTAAAGATGTTCTAATTTGTTGCTCGACATGGATCTGATACTTGATCTATCCATGCATTTCTCCAGCGTCAAAGGACACCAAAAGCACCAATCGCCATGGATGTCTTGGACGGCATCCACAACCATTTGCATAACAATTAGGTAGCACAATAGATTAGGATGAAGCACACTAGATTCTACTGGCCTTGCATGGACCCCCTATGGGTCGTACAGGTGTCCTGCATCGGACTCTGAACATCTCAACTCTTCCATTAGCTACTGGTAGCGTCCTTGTTACTACTAGTAAGGCACTTGTTTCTAGTAGCGATGCACTTGTTCCTAGTAGCGAACCTTGCTACAAGTAGCGATGCCAGAAGCTCCTAGTAGCGAACCTTGCTCCTAGTAGTAAGGCCAGGAGCCCCGTTCGTAGCGAACCTTTCCGACCTAGAAAGGGCTCCTGCTGCTTTGTCACCAGCACGCCAAAGCCTCACCTTTCCGACCTGCGCCGACGACATCCCGAGGATGACTCGAGGATACGACGACAGCATGCCTTTCCGAATATCAGCCTGTCTGTTGCTATGAAGGGACTAGTTAAGGAACAATGAATGTCAGGTTCTGTTGTGTTCCTTAACTTATGGCAGTCATCCTGGGCGAGATCCGGGCAAGATCTAGAAAGTAACCCCACGGAAGGGGCACCCAAACCTCTTCATATATCCTCTTTGCAGGTGTAAGTGTAAGGGACCTCAACATGCCAAACACAAAGGGCAAGATTTCTCAAAAACGTCAAAGTGTTCAACCAACCAACTTTGCCTGTGTTGCCCAAAAAGGACGACTTTCCACAGACCCTTCCCCTCAAGGCAGGGAATACCTCAATGCGTTTTACAGAGACCGCACGGCGCGCGAGGGAGCAAGGGAAAGTCATGTGAAGTTGCAGGCATCGCTACTAGGTTGGAGCCGGGCCACAACTTGGGTCATCCATTCAAACCACAAATCGTCTGCTCGACCCGTTGTTCGAGTTCAAACGAGAGAAAAAAACGGTACCTCCACCCGATGGCCTCCACCCTAAGAGCAATGGCCTCCAACCTAGTAGCTTCTAGCTACTAGTAGCTTCTTGCTCCTAGTAGTAAGGCCAGGAGCTACTAGTAGCGTCCTTGCTCCGAACGTAGCGATGCCCTTTGCTACTAGTAGCTTCTTGTTACTGTTGTACCCAACCAAGACGGGAAATAGATGGAAATAGACCGTGGCCTGGTCGCCTGTGAGAAATTCCAGGCTGTCTGTTGACCAGGCCTAGGAGCATGGTGGCATGTTCATCTGCCGGCGCCGCGCAACGAAGTGGCTTGGATTTCGTCAACACCGCGCAACTCAATAAGGATCCATTGAAACCCTGATTGACCTGGCCATGAGAGAGTTTCTTTTTGAAGTTGTCGGATGGAACCGTGAAGAAATCCATCAAATGGATCGAGGGAAGTGACAGGTACAGTTCCACATCCCTGTGTTGGACAAAAGCCTGATTTTTTAGATCTGTATATCCTCACTTTGACTCCAACAGCACCCACCCGAACCGTTAGAGGAACACCGTCTTCCAATGCATTTGTGGAATTGTGGAAGGATAGGTGCCGGAACCTCTCTAATCTTGTGATGTGTCACTAACATGTGGAGGCCATCGCTAGTAGGTTGGAGGCCAATGCTCTAAGGGATGGAGGCCATCGCTCTAAGGGATGGAGGCCATCGCTAACATGTTTGATAACTAATCTCGGGTTGTGTCACTAACATGTTTGATCGTGGTTCCCAGAACACGCGTCAAACATCGGAAGGCCTGTAACTCGGCCAATGCCAACACCCAACCAGAGGCCGAATGGTGTCGCACTGCTTATTCACCAAGTATCATTTGGCTGATGGCATAGGATGGGATTCCCATATGTTAAGTGAACTAATAATGACTTCGATGACTCCCAACAACCCACTGCAAAATCGTTGCGATGCTCAGCTTCGCATCTGTTCCGCCCCCCCAAGTGACGGTTCCCCAATGCTCCAAGTGTCCACAGCCCAAATCTCATGATGATGGCCTCAGCCGTCCAATTCGGTTTGCGGTTCGGAACCGTGCACCTAGGACATCGGACCGCCCCTAAACATGGTCTTTTTTGGGTCGGTGTCGGGTGACCCAGCACTGAGGCGATAGCCTCATTGACTCATTGAGTCCTCATCCGAACATGACCGTCTCGATCTCTGGTGAACCAAGGGACCTACCGATCGACCGCTTTCAGCTGGCTCTGCAGCCGGCAGCCAAGCGGCCATGCAGCGTGGCTTCCAGGGTCCAACCGCCCTCAATGGACCTCAGTGACCAAGGAAGAACTAATAGCAATGGCCTCCAACCTACTAGCGATGCACTTGTTACTAGTAGCTTCTTGTTCCTACTAGTCAGGCACTTATTACTAGTAGCGATGCACTTGTTACTACTAGCACTGGCCTCCAACCTAATAGCGATGTTAATGGACCTTACTGAAGGTGACCCAGTAAGGACGGTGGGTCTGTGACGGGTTTTCCCAGGGTTTGTTCTTTTGCTGATGTTGTTCATATATGCATCGAACAAGGAAAAACATCCAATATTGTTTGATGTTCTTCTTTGCAACATGGGGTTCCTAGGCAGTATTCCAAAAAGGCTCTTGAGACTCTTGCCAGTTTATGTGCTATTTTGCAGTCTACATCCAGTCCTGTCCCAGTCTTGTGGCTCTGGTACATAATGGGGGTCGCACAAAACAACTGTTCCTTCCGCCTACCCCGGAAAATCTCCGCAATGCACAAACGTATCGATACGCAGCGGGTTGAGATGCGCATGTTAAGGATTGTAGATCATCCAAATTGTTGCCCCAGCCCCTTCCTGAGACTCCTGCGGATCCCTCAACCAAATCCTGGCAGATCCATCTTTGCTGCCGGTGAGAATCTGGCAGCGAGGGATGAGGAGGATTTCTTGGACAGCAGGGCCCCCTCCTCGCCCAGGGTCTGGAACGTTCACATCGCTTTCAGGGGTCAATGTAGGCTTGGAGAGTCTGAATTTGAGAGCCACTGTTGGTATCTGTGTTCTCTTCTTGAATCATTCGAGTAGGCTGTCTCAAGCCACGCACCTAGGTCATGGGATTGAACACAGCTCTGCCTCTGGATTTCAAGTTTGATAAAGGGACGGCGCTGGCCATTGGTCGGTTCTGCATGACAAATAAGTCCTTGTCCCCTACCCTTGTTACATTCAACCGACAAACAGAATGTGGTTTTCCTGGAAACTGTTGCCTTGGTCTCATGGGAAATCCAAGCAAGCCGTCAACAGCCATTCACCAAGCAACAAACATAAACAACTCAAGCAAATGAAATTTACTAGGAGCAAGGACGCTACTAGGGGTTCCTGGCCTAGGAGCAAAGGGCATCGCTACTAGGAGCAAGGACGCGGCTAAAGTGACGGCCAAGAATGACTTCCTTGACACCACGCTGCTCCCACTGGGTCTTCGCGCCCGATGGCCGTCCGGAGACCATGCCGCCACCCAAATGGGTGACCAGCGGGTAATCCAATCTGAATTGTGCGATCGAAACCGGTCCGACTGGACGTTTTTGGGCGACCGGGAGAGGAACAGTCCGAAGAGGATCAGGAAAACTGTTTATCCTTCAAGTCTCACGGGAATCCGCCTGTCGGTCTTTCTTTTTGCTGGGCCCTTCTGGCAACGACGAATCTGCAGTTCTTGTTGATCTCAGATGGAAACTACCTACATCTACCTGCTTACATAACTTCATATGATTTGCTTGGGCAGGTTCTTCATGTTTCTTCCTTTCTCTCGTTCCACATCTTCAGAGTTTCCGGGACCCACACCCATGTTGGCGTCTGGATGCAGCGTGTCCAAGCGTGCAGGAGAGTACCACGGCAAAGCGGTGTTGCTCCTGGAAGGGTGGACGGTTAACAGAAACCTTCCCAAATGATCCATGTGGTGGTGAATATCGCCTACATTCTGTGGATTTTTTTTGTGGTGAATGTAGGTCACAAATCCTTACATGGACCGTT